GCCCCCGGGGCGGGGCGGGATGCATGTGGGGCTGGTGCTGCTCGGAGCGGGGCTGCGGCTCGCTGCCCCCTGAGCCCCCTCTCCGAGCCGTGGGTCTCTGCCAGCGCTGCTCCGCCGGCCTACCCTCGGCCTGGGCTGTCCGGGCACCCAGGCCTGTGCCCGCGCCGCCCCTCCGGGCTGCTGCTCAGTCTTACCCGGGGAGCTCGTGGGGGCTGGGCTTTCTGTAAGAGATGAGAGCGCCCCCCACCGTAAAATTTGAACATCATAACTTGGGGGGTGTCAGGTATCCAGGTTGTAGCCCTATTAGTCTAAAGGAAAAAGCAGTCCAGGCGGTGGATAGAGGTGATATCTTTTATTAGACTGACTAGATTTTTGCAAAAAAAGGTCTTTTTAATTGCAAGCTTTCGGCCACAATCACCCTGCATCAGGCATCAAAGAAAAGACTGTAGAAGTTCTCCTGGGTAGAAATGAAAGGTCATATATCATAGGGTTTCACGAAGGTGCAGACTAGAGCTTCCCAAACTTCCTCAGCCTGACCCCATTTATGGCCCCATTTCCCCAGCATGGCCCCAGCCCACAGCTCCTCACCCCATCCGCTGCTGTTGCGACCCTGTTTGGGAACTGCAGGTGCCAGATCTCTACAAGAACACAGATTTGAATGAGGACCAATATTGACTCCTCTGTGAAATCCTATGAAATATGAACTTTCATTTCTACCCAGGAGAACTTTTACAATCTTTTCTCTGATGCCTGATGAAGGGTGTTTGTGCCCAAAAGCTTGTAATTAAAGAATTTTTTTTGAAAACACCTTGTTGGTCTAATAAAAGATATCACCTCTATCCACAGCCCTGACTGCTTTAACCTGGGGAGTCACTTAGGTGGACTTGTTAATCAATGAACCGGTTTAACTTTGTGTTACCTCCCCACTGCCCGGTGTAATTTCAGTCCTGACATGCTTGCCTTCTTCACAGCAAGGCTCTGGGATGAGCGGCCCACGCTGCACACAGTGCCTTGGAGGGGAGCGCAGAGAGGACAGTGGAAAATGAGGCGCTGGACCCTCGCGCTCTGCTCCACCTGCTTTCTATAGCAAACAAGGCTTCCCACGCTTCTGGGCTTTGCTGCTTGCCCCTGCCACCCTCCCCACCCCTTTCTGCTACATGTCAGGGTGTTTTTAAAGCCTTTCCAGAGGAGTTGGGTGTTGGCACCCCCCAAGACTGGGGACTTTGCCTGGGCTGTGCCAGTGTTCCTGCAAAGCCAGAGGTTCCTGGCTACAGCATCTTGTCCCTCCACTCAGATTTGGGGTCCGGAAGGAATTTTACCTCATGGACAGATTGGTATGAACAGTGGGGTGAGGGGGGGTTTGCCTTTGTCTGTGGTCAGGGCTATGACCCTGAGATCTCTTGAGCGTATATTATCAATATTTCGTAGAAGCAGGACATTGGTTCCCTGCTTTACTGGTGGCAGGTTAGGGCAGGGGTAGGCAACGTTTTTTGGCCAGAGTGCCGAAAAAACCACAATGTCTACCTTGGAAGGGGCTGGAGTGCCAACATGCTGGAGCCCAGAGCAGCTGTTTGCAGCCTCCTGGCTGCAGCCAGCCCTCAGAGCCCAGTCTGCTTGCAGCAGGACTTGCAGCCTTCCAGCTGCCTGCTGGGAGCAGCCTGGGCTCTGTGGCTGGCAGCAGGTGTTTAGAGCTCGGTTTGGCAGTGGTGTGCTGAGCAAAACGGCCTCGCGTGCTGTGCTCAGCACGCGTGCCTGGGATTGCTGACCCCTGGGTTAGGGTGTTAGGTCTGTGTCAGGGTTGACAGTAGTCTTATCTAGATTTTGGATTATGGTTGTATGGGATGGTTTGGATAGAGATGATTCTGCCTCTGGACTAGATGACCTCTGGAGGCCCCTTCCAGCCCTGCTACTCTATGATTCTGTGACTTGTTAACTGAGAGGCAAGAATTTCTTAGGGTGATCTCTCTTATTGGACTAAATATGTAAGTAGTTCAAAAGCTGATCTAACATTATCTCAACTACATACTTAGTCCAATAAAAGATATCACCCTAATAAACACTTGCCTCTGATTCATTATCTGAGGGGCAAGGTTGTCTTAGGGCAATATCTTTTATTGGACTAGGTATGTAGTTGAAATAATGTTAGACCAGCTTTTGAATGAAAGATGTTCAAATGTAAGACGTTCAAAAGCTGGTCTAACATTATCTCAGCTACATATTTAGTCCAGTAAAAGATTGCCCTAAGAAACCCTTGCCTCTCTGATTCATCATCTGAGACGGAAGGGTTTCTTAGGGCAATATCTTTTCCTGGAAAAATATGTAGTTGAGATAATGTTAGACAAGCTTTCGAATGCAGAACATTCAAAAGCTGGTCTAACTATCTCAACTACATATTTAATTCAATAAAAGAGATCATCCTAAGAAATCCTTGCCTTATAAATTCTGGCATATCACTCTTCTACTTCATTATCTGAGGGCTGTCTTAAATTCATACAGGAAGTTGGTTATATTTTCTTGGTTTGTTCTGGTGATCAGAATTTCAGTTAGCTTCTTTTTAGTTACTGCATTCTAGTTTTGTGGGTTTGTATTATGCTATGCATCCAGGCTATTATGCACCTTTGCTGATATAAGGTTTGGTCCCTTTAGTACAGGGGACTAAAGGGCCAGAATGAAAAAGGCATGACGTGATTAATTTAATCATTTATTCTCTTATGCACTAATCAAACTGTGAAAAATTCCTCCCTCTGTCATTGTGGCTTTTGGTATGTAATAATCACCTAACTATTAATCAAATACATTCCCATTACAGGAGTTAGGAATTTCCCAATATAGGAAATAGTATGATTTCAGGGTTCTCATGTACTTGAATCTAGAAATAGCTCTTTAAAATATACTTATCCACATAGCAAATTATGGGTTTTTTTCCCCCCCCTTTATCAGGTATTTGGACTACTGCTTGAGTATAAATAACTATGTAGTCTTTTCTATCACTAATAATGATTTTTTTTACTTTTATATTTACTGCAATTTTTATTTAATCTTAATAACATTTAATACTGATGCTTTATTTAAACCTGAATTTCCCTAAATAAAGGAAAGAAATTTTCTGGTAAGTATCAATGTATTTCCAGTACACAGAATACAGTAAAAAAGGGAGTGAGTGTACATTGTACACTCCCTTTTGTTTACGTGCAGCAGTTCAAGCTTGTTTCTTCAGGTCTCTTCTACTTCCTTCTCAGAATTGACTGTTTTGGTAATGCTGTTGCAAAATTTCACTCTTCCCTTGGATTCCTTTCTTAAGCTTTGGTAGCTTTTTAAGGAGAGCAATTACTAACTCAACAGGATATATGTGTCATAAGTTTTTAGGGAGGGAGGGGAAATTGAACAATAACTCAAAACTTCCTTTACAGGTATTGTTAATATATTAACTTTTGTGGTTTGTCTTATTCATTATGCAGAATATATGTAAATCGGAATTGACAACACTGATAGCTGTTTCTCTACATTTTCCATGCTGTATTACAGTGCTGATTCATGGGCAGCCATTGTAAATCTGTCCACATTAATTTATGGCAAATGTCTATTTAAAAAAAATAATCAGATGGATAAATGTCCATGTGGTTGAACTATTTTGAAGGAGCTGGGTTCTTTAATATCTTTATGATAAATGTTTTTATTTGACTTTTTGCTGTTAAGCTTAATGCCTTTATAGTCTAGATGCCTTATCTATGTTACAATTAATGAAATTTAAATTTTAAAAAATGGGATGGCTGCTTTTACAGAATCAGGGTCTTATTCTGTAATGGAATATACAAAAACTAAAATTGCATATACTGTTTTCTTTCTCAAGGTCTAACTATACAGAATGGCTCCTGGACTGCCGGATAAAAAAAAGGCTGAGGATGAACAGTCTTCCAAGTAAGGACCAAAAACAAATTCATTATCTAGTTTGAGTTTACTTAACTACTTTGAAAACTCTAACACATTCATTACATACTTTTCTTTTTTTAAAGGTAAATGCCTACAGGCTAGATGTTGACTTTCCACAGGTTTATGCTTATCATATTTGATGAAGTAATTATGTTGGTTATTGTCGATGCTATTTTTGTTGGGGTTTTTGGGGGGTTTTTTTTACATTTCTTTACTAGCAAAAGCGTAAATGTAGATGTGGTTATACTGACATTTCAAGGAATTGGAATAAGATATACAAATAAAACAGTCTTTGCTTTATAAGGAGTGTCAGTTAATTATCTTAGGTGAGTGATATTCCATGCCAGTGAATCTTTTCTGGTGTAGGCTAATCAGCAGGTGAAATTTTGGCTTTAGTGGATTCAGGAGGATCTTTACAACTGACTTGAATAGAGCCAATTTTAACCACATCTTTTTTGAAGAGCGGATTTTGAACAAATATTTCAGTTTTACTACAAATTAATCTCAGTGTAAGAAAATGAAACTTAAGCCAAGGATGAATGATTGGTGTTCAAATACTTCTGTTTTCTCTATCTAGCACCTGAAATATGCTAAGTGTTGTATATAGATGCAAGAGGATAAGTTCTGTAGTTTAAGTTTCACTTGCAATGTATTATAGTCTATTTACTTGTGTCTTAGCTTTATTTGTTTAATTGAAAAAATAGCTGATATCCTATAGAAATGAATGGTTTTCTGCTTGTACAAGAAAAATGTAAAATGCTTCTAAATCAAGTCCTAATTGAATTTTGTAACTTCTTATATGTATCCCCAGAGCCAAATATTTGGTCTGTGTTATTGGTCTGTTACAGAAAGTCAGGGAGCCCTGGATCATCTAGCAGGAATAATTTTGAGCCATGTGGAGAATTAGAATCAGACTGTGTGCGCTGATTTTCCACAGCCACGCTCTGCAGGGTTCTCTGGCCTTTGGAAAGATCTAGCCACTCATCATCTCATTAGGATGTGGCTGGGTTTTCCCATTGCTCTTGTTGTCTGCCAGTTCTTTTGTCAGGTTTCCTGGGACTACTCCCTCTTTGCAATAACTGCCCTGATGGGATGAATTCTAGGAGACTGGTTCTCTCGTTCTTTGCCTTTTCTTCCCTTTCTGTTCTTTTTCACATTCTTTCTTTTCTCTCAGTGCCTCTGATTTTTCTCTTCTTACGCTTTGCTTCTCTCTTCTTTCCCGTTACCTTTCCTCTTGCTACCTCTGTTGTTACTGAATTTATTATAAACTTTTTCCTACTAGGATTTCTTTTCAGTAACCATCTGAAGCCAGCCTGGTATAATTTCAGAGAATAATGGTCCTTTCCCTCCCTCCCACATCTGATAATCTGGTTACAATGCCAGACATTCAGGGGGTGGGGTAGGCCATTAACCCTGCCCTTCTGCCCCCAAAGAGCATAGGAGGGAGCAGTGTTTTGATGGCTGAGTTTGTATATTAACATAGCTGCAGATTGTACATTCTCCACACAGTGAAGAGGTGCAGTCTCCCAACCCTCTCCCATCATGGATCACTGCTCAGTTTCCTCTGCTCTAATATTTAATTATGATAGGCAAGTCTGTTACTAAGCTTGCCTGACATTCCCTACTATAAGACCCTGTTTTTCAGTTGTTTGTAGCTGCCAAGGTGAAACACTTTGCTCTGAAATTTTCCTTGCCAGGTGTCTACTTCAGGCTGTATTTTTCTGGAAAATTTTATCCAAAAGAGTTCAGAGATTTCCAAAAAACAAAGCTAGGATAAACTATAAGAAAAGACCTTTTTAAAAGTCTGGCAGTGTTGTCAGAGATGGGCCTTTTGCTGGTCCCTTGTCTAAATCTGTCCGTGTCTTAAACATTTGCTGCTTGTTACAAAGATTGCAGTTTGTGTGTGCTCAGTAGAGATTTTGCCACTAAGTTCTGTAAAGATTCTGTTCTCACGGAGGTTGCTCCATACCCTCGCTGCTGGTAGTGCTGGCCAGTCTGTATGTGCCCTTTCCCCAGACAGTTGGTTAATGGAACTGAGAGTAGGAATTCTTTGCTTCCTCCTCTTTTGCAACTGGAGCTCAGGCAGTGAAGAGGAAGAAATCATTTGAGCTAAAAGTAGAGCAGAACCAAGAAGAGAGGTGAGGGTAAGGAGTAGATTGGGGTAAAGGTTGTGGTAAGGCTAGGATAAGTGGGGATAGAAAAACTGAAACTAGGAATTGTGGAGGAAACTGGGAGGCTGTAGAGAGAAAGGAACTGCCAGGGGTGGGGACCAGGTCATCTGAAGAGATGAGGTGGAAGACAGTGAGTGGCTAGAGGCATGGTAGATCCAGAATTTTGAAACAGCGGGGTGCAGATGGTATGGCAGATTACTATGTATAACACAGCACATATTTTTCTCTAGTTAAAAAGAAACTAGAAGCTTTACTGATACGTTAGGGGACTAGGGTTATACTAGTTAGTTTATGATAGAAGCAAAAACAAATATATCTATATTGAATGTGCATTAATTTGCTCTACCATATATCATTTATAGAAAGAAAGCAACAAACTAGGCAAAAGTAATCAAAATATGTTATTTTGTTAGTCCTGTAGCCATTACAATTAAATGTACATCTCTCTTTCAGATTCTTGAAGCACAATCTAATCTTGAACATTTTGACTGTGCTTGACAATGCTTCACTGAAAGTTATTTCCACACCTTTAGCTAGTTAAAGAGCAGTCTTCAGGACTGTGAAATGGGAACTACAATTATCAGGAACAGCTCACAGACAACAATATTTTAGAAGAAAGGGAGCTTTATTAGTGCAACATCAAGACCATTTAAAATGAGAGAGGGCCATTATCAACTGTGGAAGGAGGAGTTTGGGAAGAATAAGGTAGATTAGTCAGTTGACTTCCTCCTTGCTGCCTGAATAGAAATGTTGCTTCCACTTTCAGGCAGTTGGTTTTAAACTTTGGGTGAACCAGGAGTCAAAGGGGAAAGGGGTGCCACTGCAACCCTGTATTTACCCATGGCTGGAGGTGTATGAGTGGAAGTATAGAGACACTGGAGGTGTACGACACCTGGCCACCTTGACCACTCAGCAGGTTGCAGTCATGGGACTCAGTTGCTGAATCCTAGGGTGTTTTAAGTCTCTGGAATCTGGTGACAGTGTGGGCACTGCCTTTCAATTTGGGATCTTGGTGTACAGTCCCCAGCATCCAGGCTTTGCTCTTCAGACTACATAAAGTCCTCTCCTAGAGTCTTCACGAAGGAGTGAACTCTTAGTTTAGCGCGTAAGTCTTCAGGATATATGTGACAGGACCAAGGAATCCCATGCAGATCCACAGAGGTTTTGTTCAGGTTTTCTAAATACATTGGCTCTATTTTTGAGACAAAGTCCAACAGTTACAGTTCATTTAGAAAATGGCAAACCTCCAAAAGGCAGTGCCCTGTATAATCGAGCTCTGACTTTCCCTGGGAGTCTTGCATGGGGCAGGCATATCTGTTCTTAGGATTCCTCCTGCCTTATTAGGCTCCTGCACACAGGAGCGCTTCTTTAGTTTTTTTGAATGACTGAGACGTTCTTTGGGCTGAGGTCAGGTCCCCAAGAGTGGTCTAGGATTCTTCTACTGGTAGGCTTCTGTACTGGGGAGTCTCCCAGCCTATCTCATCTTCCTCACCCTCAGTTTGTGCCTAGTAAAAATGCATCCCCTGCTACAAAAGCATGTTCTAGTACTTTCCCTCCTACCGAGAGCTGCTTGTATTTCTCTCCCCTTATCTTGCCCAGAAGAATAGTATGCCCCCTCCCTCATGTCTTCCTCCCAGAAGAGCAACTCCTCTCCTTTCATAATGTTCATTCAGCTTTTAAGGACAGTCTCTGATCAGCTCCAACAGGTGAAATAGGTCACCACTACATCACTTTTCTGTCCATTTCTGTCTCACAAACCAGTTCTCTAGGGTTGGAGATAGCATATTGCACAAGAAGTTTGCAATTGAATGGCAGAACATTCAGCAGCTAGTCCAACAGCCCTTGGGCTTGTAGGCCAAGTAGAAATAAAAAGGCAGCAGGAAAGTGAAGGCCTACCCTACCTGCAAAATGAAGCTTGCAATCATGATTGTGGGTAGAATCCATTAGCTGTATCGAGATTGTCTGAGTTATTAAGAAGGGACACTGTTATTAGATGAGGGGCAGAGGAAGGGTAATGTGGGACTGGAATTTAGAGAGGGGGAAAATGGGGCTTTAGGGGCTACGAGACAGAGCTTATAAGGATTTGGGATATGGGAAGAAAACTAGTATTTATTTGGGTGAGAGGACCGAGGACAAGGAGTTGTACATGGGACTGGGTAGGCAAGAAGGCTAAGGAAGTGGAGGAAGTATAGAACTGGCTTGACAGGGACAGAATACATGAGGAGAATGGGGCTGAGCAAGTTGCTGCAGCCACAGAAGACAAGACTAGGATAGGGCTGAAGGGCACAAGATTTGGGAGAAACAAAAAGGTCCCCAGGAACCAAGCTCCCTGCAGAGCCCAGGATGGAACCCATGGTTCTTGCCCACATGGTTCTGTCATCAGCACGTATCTGTGAAAAACACAAGCAAAACGCACCTCAAGCAGTGTTGTTCCCCTAGAAGATGACAACTTATTAGTGCTTCACAACCCTGAGGACCTTTGTCCTGTCTAACAAATGATGCTAGGCCCTGTGGGAAAAATAATACATGATTAAAGACCCAATGAATGCTGTCATGCAACAGAATGGAATGAAAACAGAACAAGCAACTTTAATTATGATTATACCCCAGCATCTAGTGCTTGTCTTTGCATACCTGAGGACCTTTTAAAGTAGGATATTGTGTGTAACTTATATTTTCCACTGTTCTGCTGTCATGACAGAAAGAATCTCATTCATCTCTGCAACCCTCACCTTGAGCAAATGAAAGAAGATGTCCTGTACCATTTTGCTCTTGGGACTGGTACCCAGGATTTTCCTACCTTGTTTGGAGAAGTGAAGGTAAGATACTTGATTTCATTCTAAAAGCCGAAACACTTAATCAGAAAGGAAAAAGTTAAACTACACCTTAAATTAAATTAAAAACAGCAGTCTAAATCAGTCTGGGAAAGGCCTGGAGAGAAGATATGGCCTTCCCATTGGGAACACTGTTGTCATCTTCAGATGGTTTTATGGCTTAGCAAACCTGACTGCTTTTTTCTGTATTGGGCCAAACAGTGATTCCTCTCTCATTTCCACTGAAGTCAATAACAAACTTCCACCTGTTTTTGAGTGAATGCAGGACCAAGGCCTAAGTCCCAGAGATTTATCAGGATCAGGACTGAGTGTGTTTTCAGCCTTTGGAGCATCTTCTGCAAGTTGATGACATGAGCATGTCAGTCTGGCTTTGTAGCAGCTGTGGCAGTTCTTTCTCCTAAGTCAAAATGCAGGGACTTGTCCCCTTCATTCCAAACCAAGAACAAGACCTGAAATAGCACCTCTGAACCCACAGAGAGAGAGAGCCTCAACAGCAAACTCTGCTATGAGACTTCATATCATCTTTTAGGACACAGCATTGCTGACAGTTGCTCTGTGCCCTGGAAATGGGTTCTGTGGGGATTAGGGGACAGAAATAAACCTCATTTAAGTTTGAGTTTGGCAGTGCTTTGTTTCCCTGTTAGGAAGGGCACTCTCAGCCTCTGGTTCATTCTTGGGTAGCCTGTGAGTCTGCCAGGATAGATATAAAGCCTTCCCTATTGACCTAGTCGGAGCATTTCTCTTTGGTGCCTTTTTACATCTCCTACTTCACAGCAAAAATCCCTCTCTGGCTTGGAGAGGCTAACATTTTTAAATGTCTGTAAACAAGCTGCCCTAGTTCTGCAGCTTTTTAGTATACAAGTGCTGCAAGTAGCAAACAAGGCAATGATAAACAACTTCTTTGAAACTATTTTAAACCTGGCCGTTAGACATTTCTCATAATAGCTTCCTATAAAAATCAGAACAATGGAAAATCATAGTTAGGAACAGTTTTGATTTAACTTGAGCTTTTTCATCCTTATATCTATCTTTGCTGCTTCTTTGATGTTATACTGCATCATGTATGTTAGATGTGTTTTGTTGAATGCTGTCCACACTAGTTTGTATGTGTTGGAGGAAGCCCTTCACGGATGAAAGCTTTTATCACCTACATAGCTGAAGAGCTTGGACTCAGGACCCCTGGCTATGACCATCCTAACATCTGTGCAGGGACTGACCGGTATGCCATGTACAAAGCAGGACCTGTCTTATCAGTTAGTGTAAGTATCAAACATTATGAGTGGTGGTGGGAGAATGATATTTCCATTCTTCTTAAAAGAAGGCAGGCTTGGTTTTGGAAGAATAGAGGTGTTCCAATATGTAGTGTAACCCTTTTAATTGAAGTCATTTGTGTGGTATTGGGCATGAATGCGTGTAGCCTCTGAAAGATCTACAGCCACATTCCTAGGTCTGTTTCAGAGGTGCAAAATCTCTGGCTCCATCTGGCTCAGTAAGGCCTTAGCAAAATCTTGCTTCCCTTTCCCTGTTACCCAGGGAAAATGGCTGGGTAATACTTATCCCGCAGGGTCTCAGACATTCCAGAGAGAAAGGAGATGCAGCGGGGATGTCCCAGTGATGTAGTGACCCCTGGCTTCTGCAGCGTCTCCCTGCTGCACTTGAAATGGGAGAACAGACCTCTATGGAGCAATGGACAGATGTCTGTATCTCACCCAGGATGGATCCAAATTTGGATATTGAAAAGTGCAAAGGTGACTTGGAAGTACCAAAAACAGTCTGTGTCACTTAATCATTGCAGGAAGCCGCACTATTAACCTGCCATGTCAGCCCCTGGTATTATGAATTTTCTGCTCTCTTCCCTTCAAGCTGTGACTTAACTCAGTGTGTTACAAATTGAGGGAGATTCTGGCTTGCTGAACTTAGTGCTTTATACCACAAGCTCTGCCTTTTGTAAAGTTGTAGCACAGCTATAGTTGCTATCTTTCGAGATTGTTATAAATTTGTGTAAGCATTATTCTTGAGCTATATAGAAGCTTTGTGTAGGCATGTAACTGTGAAGAATTAGGGCAGGGATTTGGCATTTCAAAATGAACCTATCTGGACCTGATGTAGTGTCCATGGACATCAGGAGGTGACTTCATCTTTCCTGCAGTAGGCTTCCAGTCAGGCCTGTAGGTTTGGTTTTTATGAAAACACTTTTGAATTAATTCTTCAGATAATAACAGGACAGCAATATGCTCCAACTTCTTATTTTTCCGCACCAGTTTATATGAACTCTCACTGTAAATTTCTGTTTTTATTTCAGCATGGTATGGGTATTCCCTCTATAGCAATCATGTTACATGAGCTGATCAAACTGTTGCATCATGCCAAGTGTTCCAGTGTAACAGTTATTCGCATTGGCACATCTGGTGGAATAGGTAATTTTCCTCTGGATTTCTTTCTTTTTAAATGAAAATATTCTGTACTTTTAAGGTTTGTAGACAAAATAATACCTCATTAAAAATGTTTAACATTTATTTAGTTTTTAAAAGAGCTTTATAAATGAATTAATGCTCATCTTGGGAAAAGTAAATATTATAGTCCTGACAGTATAGATAAAACCAGTGCTAAGAGTGACTTGCAAAGGATAAGAAATTGCACCCTTTTTCCTTGTATACGATTGTGGCAGTGCATTTGTAGTGCCTGCCATGTTAAGGGCTGAGTCAGGCAGCCAGTAGGTGCCTGATTGTGGTGGCCATTTTACAATACAGGCCAGCTATATAACCACAGCAGTTCACTGCTGGCAGCCAGGCAGAAACATCGCTTGGCTGAACTGCTGTATGAAGCATGTGGCAGGTAAGAGCAGGGAACTCTTGGTCCTGGGCATGACTGAAAACTACACCCTGCCGGGATAGGGAGGCCTGGTGGGACTGCCGGTGATGTGGCAGCCCCACTCAAATACCAGGATTTCTTACCTCCCTGGTGAAAGGTGGGTCAGGATGCCTCGATAACCCCTAGCCCCCACAACACCATGGGTATAAGGGGGCCAGGCATGGCTGCGGCTACCTGAGCCCCCACAGGGGAACATGACCCCAGAGGCCCCAGGGATGGGATAGATGTGTAGCCTCAGAGAGGGGGTGGTAGTAAGGGCCCTGATAAGGGTTGAGTAGGGCTGTGGGATAGACTGAAGGGCAGCGCATGGGCCAACCCCCTGAGGAACAAATGTTGGATATGAGAAGCTCGGTGAGGGGCTAGGGTGGAGTTAGTTCTCCGTGTAGTGGATTGGCTGGCCACAACCCAGGTGAGGGTCGTGGGAGAGGCCCAACAGACTGCATGTCACCACCCGAGGCGTGATCTGGATAAAGCCCTGAGGCCTACAGGAGCCGCTCCGAGAGGGAGCAGAGTGGAACAAGTTGTCAATGCGAGAGAGACCCTGTGAGAGCAGGTGGAGTGCAAGAGGCCCTAGTGAGAGGAGGGCAGTATGAATGTGTCTATGAAAGAGGCCTGACAAAGGACTAAGTTGGCCCGGCTTTAGGCTGGGAGCATAATGTCATCTTGGATGCCATCTGTGAGGCATGGGCCACTGGGTAGGGGAGGTTCGGAACGGTGGATAGTGCCCCTGGAATCAGGGCATGTAATGGGTAGTCTCCCACATTTTCCACCAGTTATGGGAACAGTAAAATCATGGCAGGCAAGACTGGGTGAACTGTCCCATAGAGGTAGGTGAGTGGGCCAACTTGAGACTGAGCCCCGAGCTTTCTGCCTGTCACGATGTATAAAAATATGAAGTTTTACTAATTCTCTTGTTTTTTTCCCCATTCTGCTTTTTCATTAACTATTCTGTTTTTGTCTAGCCCACAGTTACTCTGAGTGGCTGGAAGACTAGGAAAAAGGTCTCAGAACAGTTAGAGAATCATAGAAAAATAGGGCTAGAAAGAGCCTGAGAAGTCCTGGGTTTGGCAGGAAGTCAGAGTTGAGCAACTTGGAGGGATTCTGGATTATAATTTGTTTCTGTTCATCCTTGTTTAATTCCAATAACTATTTGAGTAGGGCACTTCTGTTTTTGCTCCTATTCTTGTTTGTCAGAAAAAATAGATGCTGGGAAGGAGAGGGATGTAGAGTTGCCCCCTTCCTCCCAGCCTGCTGCAGGGGGCTCAATTGCTTCCCCTTCTCTGCCTGTCAGTGTCGAGCTGGCTGTACTGCTCCTGCCTGCTCCAGGAGCCTCAGCATGTCTGGCACGCTCCACGCCAGCGTGCTCCCTCGCTCTTTCTGCCCCCCGGGTTCCGGTGGGGCTTTTAAATCTTCCCGCGGTGGCCGCTCTTGCCGCCACGATTGGCTCGGCTTTTCCCTGCCCGGGGAACAGCTGATTAAACAGCTGGTGTATTGCTGGCTCACGCAGCCGTGGCCACGGTTCCTGCTCTGGCTCTGGCTGAGCCCCTGGAAGTAAGTTTCCCCCGCAGGGGGGCTGTTTGTGGGATTTGGGGCCTGTGGGGACTGCCCTCTCCCCTTCAGGAGAGCTGTGGGGGCTACTCGCTGCCACAGGGAGATAGGACATAAGTGACTTTTCTCCTTGCTTATCAATCTGAAATTGTCTTTGGTAGTTCAGATCATCAGGCCATTAGATTTTACTTCATGGCACTTTTGCCTTTTTATCATTCTTTTTTTTTAATTGGTGATATGCTGCATCTTGCATGCAGACAATTTTTTAAAAGCACTTGTAATAATAACATGAATTCACTCATGTAGATTCCATACTTTTCCCATTGAATTTTGTAGGAGCAGGATTGAGCCCTAAAATATCTTGTTTATATTAGAGAAGAAGGAGGTTGAACTGCTAATTACCTTATGTATATTATATTAATACAAATATTTTACAGTAAAAAAAGCTGGTTTTTGTTTTAATGTAGGTTTGGATCCAGGCTCAGTGGTCATAACCAGGCAGGCTGTAGATGCCACCTTCAAGCCTCAATTTGAACAGCTTATACTAGGGAAGAATGTAATTCGCAGTACAGACCTAGACGAACAGCTAGCTAACGAACTGATGCAGTGTAGTAACGAGATAGCTCAGTTCAATACAGTCATTGGAAATACGATGTGCACTTTGGATTTCTATGAAGGTAAGT